CTTTCCCTTTCGTTCCGTCGCGCACACCGCCTGGAGGTTACACTTGCGCGTCCGCCTACTCTCCCCCTCTACCCCTCCCCACAGTTCTGCCTCCAACGTTGCGCCCGCTCCACCCTTTGCACTGCTCAAGCCAATCGATTGCTGCTTCCCTTTGACCTGTCTTTCCGCAAACCCTGGTGGCATCTATCATGGCCGCTCGCAGATGCGGGATTTCACCAATCCTGGTGACAATCGTTTCACCCATCTCCTGCAAAGACCATACACCACACATGATGATCTTAGCTCGGAGCGCTCAGGGGAGAATCATCCCTTTGTACAGGGTGTCGCAACAGTCACTATACGCGTTTAATTGACTCCTAAAAGCTGCAGGAGAAACTTATTCATATTTTATCATCAACAAAGGAGTTATTGCAGTTTTACTTGCCAGACTCGCCATCGCGTTCCAACGCTTCGAAGCCCGACCGTCTACCTCCACATGAGTGTCTCCATTCTCGACAATCTTCAGCCACCTACAGACACAGACCTCTCCGACGTTTTATATCATCTCTTTCCCGAATTCTCGACAGGCCGCGCGGATTCTTTCGTCGAGCTGTATCCAAATCATGGGGCTTAGTGGAATACACCTTGGTTTTGACATAGCCCTAGAGAAAAAAAGTCACAAGGTGCGAGGTCAGGGAAGCGCGGAGGCCGTTTAAGAGGGCCCCTTCGACTGATCCATCGGTCAGAAAACTTGAGGTCCAGGGAATTCCTCGCTAACATGGAAAAGTGACAAGGGGCTGCGTCTTGTCGAAAAAAGACATTAGCGGGATAACTTCTCGTCTAGACTGGTGAAATAGTAAACTCCTGTAGCATCTCTGAGTAATTTTTCCCTGTAATGGTGGTCGTGCTACCGAATGGCATCGCAGAAGAAAAGTGGTCCAGTCACCTCAGCCCATCAGCTTTGGAGCCTCTTTTGTGCCCCAAAATTTCTGTTGGGTTTTTCCCGGATTCGACAGTTGTGTCGGTTTACCTGACCAGAGAGATGAAAGATAGACTTCCCTGAATCATAAGTTTCCAAAGCACGGAGGACCTTTTGGTAGGGGTCGGTTACGCTGTCCAGGTCCGAAGCGTAAGCGCGATGTGAGCATTGAAAATAAAGTAAGCCGAAGGGGGATGCTGGAATCGTTAATGGGAAAGTAACCAAATCTAAAACGGAAAAGGGCAACCTGATGTTTCGGTTTAGGGATAGGGTTGGTTTTAGGGTTTGGGTTAGTGTTAGGCTGTGAATTTAGTTTAAGGTTTGTGTTAAATTTAAGGGTTCCGGTTAGAGTTAGGGTTTGGATTGCGGTTTAGGCTTGCGCTTACTGTTAAGGTTGGGGTTAGAGTTAGGATAGGGTTAGGGTTGTCGTTGAGGTTAGGGTGAGGGTTTGGGTCAACGTTAGAGCAAGAGTTAGGGTCAGGGCTAAGGTTTGGCTTAGGCTTTGTGGTAGCTTTCGAGTTAGGTTTAGTGTTTAGCTTAGGGCTAGTGTTAGGTTTATAATTACGTTAAGAGCTAGGTTTAATTTTGAGGTTACGGTTAGGTTTACCGTTAGGTTTGGGCTATTGCTGTCCCGCATTTCCTGTCAGCCAAGTCTTTTGCGGGTATTTTACACCTCCTTCAGTCTCGCGGCAGATGTCATACATCAGGTTGTCTTTTCCTTTCCATCCTCGGCTACTTTCTCCACTAACGATTTCAGCATCCTCCTGTTTACTTTACTTTCGATGCCCACATTGCGCTTACACTTGGGACCAGGACAGCGTACTCGAGTCTTGCCGATCTTTTTGATAATGGTGTATGATTCACATATTTCCACGCGAGCTTCGTGGTCTCCCACCTGAAGCGTTTGGGCGACCTGAAGTCGGTACGGGCAGAGCTTTATCACTCTCTGAAGCATCCGTTTAAGCAATCCTCTGTTGATGCCGAATTCCAGCGCAGCCCTCCGGATGGACTCTACCTGACTTCGCGCAAACGTTCCAACCAGGCGTTCAGTGTTTTCATCAGTAATGGTATTAACAGGCTTTTAGCTGCGTGGTTTGTCTAGAACAGATATTGTTTCCAAAAATTTGCCATTTATAACGTCAGTTGTACTACGTGTTGAAACAATGTGGCGGCCACTAAGCTTCTCAAACTCACCGAACTGCAGTCGGGGACTGGAAAACTTGCCACGAGGCAATCTAGCGACTGCTCCAACGTAAATTGGCCGGCTATGGGCAAGAGAATGATGTGCTTGCGAAAACTGTAAAGTTAGTTGTAAAATGCAGACGCCTTCACGCCTTTCCAAGTTATACCTAAAAAGAAATAGAAAAAGGAAGGTGTATGGTGGTTCCTGGACATCCTGTGTACATTTGTAGACAGAGCGTCAAACACCTACAGCCTTGCTTTTGCTCAGAGGCATAGAAGCAGCTCTCACTGTCGCCTACTTAAGTTCATATTCTTTTGTCGTTCCTTAGTAAGCACTGTCGTTAAAATAGGAATAGTAATAGGAAACTCTTGGAATTTAACGCGAGG